GGGGGCGGGGGAGGAGGAGGAGGAAGGAGGAGGAGCAGGAGGAGGAGGAGGAGGAGGAGGGGGAGGAGGAGGAGGAGAAGGAGGAGGAGGGAGGATGAGGGGGAGGAGATGGAGGAGGAGGAGGAGGAGGAGGAGGAGGAGGAGGAGGAGCAACTGCAAGAACAGCTAGAGGTCCGTGCGGATTTCTTGGACCGGCGCTGGACCTCCTCTCTCCTCCGAGCGTGGAGCGCGCCAGGGGCGGCGCCTCTCCCCGCCAAGGGGGCCCCAGCCCAAAAAATCCGCGGGGATCTCCGAAGGTTTACGCTTGTACGGCAGGGGCCCGACCACAAGGAAACCTCCCACAAGAAACCGAACCCTGAGCCTCCAGGACGTCTTCCGGGATGGACAGAAACCCCTTCAGTAAAGCGTGGTTCAGTGAAAACGACCTCGGGCCCAAACCTGGCGGGCGCAAGCCTGGAAAATGACGGCCGCGGCGCCCTCTCGAGAACCGAAAACAACAGCTCACAAATCGACGTGTCGGGGTGGGGGTCTGTCCACCCCCGATCGATGCTTGATGTGGGAACGTCACGTTTTCCATGGCAAAACCATCGAAACCCAAGACACACAGGGCACCCTGGAGGCAAGCAAGGTGTTTCTTGGCATGGGCCCCGCCTTTGAATATTCTTCGATGTCCTGCGCTGGCTTGATCGGAGTCACAGAGACAAGGGTGACGCCATCGAACAGAGCCGAGCCCTTCGAGAGCGAAGCCAAGGGCACCGGCTTGCGATCCTTGCCGAGAAGGAGCGCAGTGTCCATCAGGCAGTTCTTGGACAGCGGCGCTGCGGGAGCACTCGCGGCCGAACGTAGCAGGTCGCTGGCGCTGTCGACCGATGCCATCTCTCTGGACCGCACGGAGTTATGATCGAGGAGCTGCCAATCCAGCTCGATGGGAGCAGGTAAGGATGCGCTGGGCTCGTCGGAGATCACAGCATACCCGTGCTGCACCAGAGCAGTGAAATTAGTCCTGGGCTGCGGAAGTGAGAAGAAGAATTGCCTGGCCCAGTCCTGGGGAATGCAAGGCGCGCCATCTTCGCGCAGAGAGCTGTCAGGGCAACCGATTGCCAGCAACTCTGCCCTCTGTGCCTTGCTGACGTACTGACGGGCTCTCTCTGTCACCTGCATCTGCGTGCTCCATAACGAGTCGAAGGCTGCACTCTGCTTGTCGAGCGCTGCCAAATCGTCTTTGTAGTCCACCTGCTTCTGCTCGAAAATGCTGCGCTCGACAAAACTGTACTCGAATCGCTCCAGGTCAGCCTCGTGCTGCTGTATGCGCTGCACGGTGATCATCTGGGCTGACCGGAGCCGTCCACACTGCTGCTTGAGTGCCGCCTCTGTGGCATGGGCGACCTGCTGAAACTTGACGAAATTCGCTGACCCCCTTGTCTGGGGTAACGGCGCACAGGACAGATCTCTGCCCCTACCCGTCCCCGTACACTTGCGTGTCTGCTTGAGCGGGAGGACTGTGAAGGCCTGGAAAAGCCCAGGAGGACAAGGAAGCTCCACCCTCCCCTCTCAGATCGGGCTCATGACGCCAAGATGCTGGTTCATGACGGGAAGATGTTGGCAATCTTCAGGACGACCCAGGAGGCCCAGGCCCAGGAAAAACACGACGCGCTCAAATAGAGGCTCCAAGACTGGCCCAAGATCGCCAAATTTTTGTCCCAACCCGAACGTTTTCAGTGAGCTTCGCTTCGTGATCAGGTCGGCCCTGGTCTCAGGATTCTCTACGAGGGCCCCGAACCTATCCCGGAGTTGCTCAGGCGCGCCTCTGGGGGCCCAAAAGAGCCCTGAATTAGCTTCAATAGATAATCGTCTAACGGCCCCAGAAGGCCTCCAGAGAAACTCCAAACGCCAGGAATCAAAAAGACAATGCGGCCCAAGAAGGCCTCGGGCCCAAACCGACCCCAACGCCCCCTCAGAGCAGCCTTCCAAGAAACGCTCAAACTCTCTGACTCCTCATGTTTCGGTAAGAGACGGCCCCCGGAGCCCCCAGGGAGGGCGCCCGAACGACCCCGCAGTGGCCCAGGAACGGTCTCCGACGGCCCGAGAGGGCCGAGAACCCGTGCCATTCGCCCCAATGCGGCCCCAGGAGGAACGCACGGCGCCCAGGCAGATGCGCCACGACGGCTCGAGAGGGTGCCGCACATGAAGCCGGCGGAGGCGTGCTGGTCCAGGGCGCAGGTCGCGCGGCTGTCGGACGCAGGCCCGCTGCCCCTGGACACGCGCTCCCCCCGCCGCGCCAGCCGTGGGCGCCAGCGGTCCGCTGGGCGCCGTGGCTCCCCCGTCGTGTGGAGGCACCACCGGAGGGGGGGGGGGGGGTGGGCGCGCTTGTCGGGAGCCATCCCGGAGGGTCGTCCGGGGCGCGGAGGCGCTGGCGAGGCCGGGCGAGGCGTGCGCCCTCCGCGGCCGCGTCGCGGCGGGCCTCCACCGCCGGACCGCGGAGCGCCCCCGCCGCGGACGCCTCCCGCGACGCCTGCCTGGCGGGAACGCGCGGGCGAGGGGGCCCTCGCCCACGGCCTTTCCGAGCGGGTCCTCACGGACGCCGCGGGCGTGGCCGAGCTCGCGCCGTAGGTGGAGTTCGTGGGGCGGGCGGCGGGCGCCCACGTGCACGCGCGAGGGCGATGAAAAGGCCGCGCCCGCGCGCGACGTGCCCGTCCTGCCCCCCCTTGCCTCCTGGACCTCTCCCCCCGCCCCGCCCCCCCCCCCCCTTTCAGGGGGGGTGCTGTCGTGCCTGCGTTGGCCGCCCAGCGTAGACGCCCCACAACACTCCCCGACGCCCCAGCGACGCGGCCCCGTAGGCCTGTCGGGCACGGCGGAGCTGCGCAGGGCGGGACCCCCAGCCATCCCCCACGCAGGGTTGGCCTGCCCCACGTCGTTTCTGATGTCCAGTTCTGATGTCCACGAGAAGGCCCAGATGGCCAGCACTCCCAAATGCCTCTCATGGGGCCCAACGAGACCCAAAAGGCTGTACGAAGCGCTCGAGGGAGGCCCACGGAGGCCCCGGGCAGCGCGCGAGGGGGTCCAAGAGGGGCCCTCAGAGGCCCGGAGAAGTGCGCCAGAAGCTCAAGAAGTGGCTTCAAGAGAGGCCCCGCTGAGAATTCCGTCCATCCATCGCTTCATCGTATCCCAAGAGAGCCCAGAATCGAATCGATGCCGGACATGCGATCGACATGGATCGTACCGGCGGAAATCGGTGGCCAAGTTGGGGGAAGTTGAATCGGCGGAAATCGGCAGACTAGAAAGGCCTCCAATGATAAATCGGAATCCAAATCGGAATCCGAAGTCGAATCGATCGAAATCGAACCGAGGGATAGAAACGAGCACTACATCCAGCGTCCCGTCCTTCCCTCCTCACTTCTCCCTCCCTGCTCCCTCCTCCCTCCATCCGTCCCTGCATTCCTTCATTACTCCATCCATGCATCCATACCTCAAAGCGTCCACCCCTCCAACCTTATTCCTATGCTATTCATACCTCCATTTTTTCTGAGGGCGGCCTGGACAAGGTCTGATTTGCGGATTTTGGGTCTGTCGTCAACCTTGGCAATTGTATGCGAGGGGACGCTCTATATCTATCTCACAACGGGTCATCGAACATGATACACGTGTATGTATAAACATATACATACCCGCGATAATCGCCCCATGGGGATAATGGAGTTCGGGGTCCTGGGAGAACAATAAGCTTTTCCCCGGAGATATCAATGCTGGGATGTCGAAGAGAAAGAGGGGCAGATCGAAAACACTGAGCGTTTCGCCTGTGACATCCACACATGACATGTTCGCGACAGAGCCTTCTACAAAATCAAGCGTTTTGCTTGAGACATCCTCGAAAAACTGATCGTCACGAATTTGGCGAATCTTCGAAAATGCGTGCTTCGCCTGAGACATCGTCACAAACATTGGAAATGAACCGGTAGGCGAAATATAATCAGGATTGCTCATGGTCCTATGCATGGATCAGAGCTATGGTTGGAACTTTGCCGGGGGAAAAAATAAGAAAGCGCAGCCTCCCCGCCTCCCCGCCTCTTGTGCCATGTACAGGAAGCGTAGAATAAACATAGACGATCCCAGGGAGGGACTTCTTATTATCACGGGGGCGGCGTCTGTTAACTTCTTCCCCCACCGGAGGCGAACTTCGTGCTGACTATACCGAGGGCGGTCTGCCTGACCGCCCTCGGCACTGATTGCTTCCATAGCTAAACTTGGGGAGGGGTGATGTTTCTCTGCACGATTCCGGACATGTGCAGGGGGACTCGGCGGGTAAGAACAGAAACAACGACGCAGAAACAACAGATAAGACAACAAACGCAGTGACATGAATAATGATAAGGATCGGGGACATCTACCCTCGGACAACACGTCCTTCGTGGGCGCTCGTGGGGGCGAAGTCGAGCGTCACGTACCCGACGCAGCTCGACGAAGAGCACGCCCCGACTCAGTACGCCGAGGAGGGGCTGCGTTTCCTTCCCCACACGCTGATCGAGCGAGAGCTCGCGCGAACAGGGCCACAGGCGGGCGTGGCCGATGCCGCTCTGCCCGGGGCCTGCGCGCCTCGCCGCCGCCTGTCCCCCTTGCAATGCAACTGGATGCCTGCGCATCGGGCGGCCGTCGCGCACTGCAGAGCATCTCCATGGTGCCTTCCTTTCCTCCCCCCTTTGTCCTTCCTCCGCCCCTCTTCGCCGCTCCATCCCCATTTCCCTCATTCTCACGTCACCTCCTCCCCCTCCTCCGACCTAGTCTCCCCGTGTCTCTCCTATTCTGCCCCGTCGTCCTCCCACTAATGTGTTCCATCACTTGTCCCTCCATTCCCTAGCTCCGGATTCCCTTGCCCAACCTCCTTCAAGGGCCACCCGCAGGCAGGCACGTGCAAAGGTGCTGGCGGATGTGATGTTGCGCCAGCTTTGCGAATCATCTGGCAGGTTGGAGCGCAGCTCGTCCATTGTCAGCTGCGTCTTGCGGTTCATCCCCTGGTATGCAGTGCGGAGCCACTCTGCGAAAGCGAGCTGGAGGTCGAAGGCTTCTCCGCACTGTGCTGCAATGCGCCCGTGGATGTCCTCGCTGCGCGCCAAGGTTGGAGAGTACTCGGCAACCTTGGCGCGCGCAGCCTCGATGCGAGACTTCGCCCGCGCGAGTTCTGATCGAACGGCCAGGTCTGCAGCGATCGAGTCCCTGATCTGCTGGAACCCCTGCTGGATCAGATCTATCGCCTCCGTCAAAGCAGTCTCCGTGGCCACAGCACTCTTCTTGGCCGCATCGTTGGTCGCGGAGAACTGCACCTCCTCTGCTGCGAGGTGGCTGTCCAGCTGGGACCTGCGATCGGCCGCGGCGCGTGCCAACGAAACGTGCTTCTCTTGCTCTTCTCTGCGCAACCTCTGTGATTCGGTGTGCTCCTCGAAGAACTTCTCGAGGGTGCAGCTCAGGACCGTGGCCATGGTGTCGCGACCGCACACTGCGTCGAGCTTCCTCTCGTACTTCTCCAATAACTCCAACGCCGATTCTGTACGCGCCTCCTCGCGCTCGAGCCGGTCGGACAGGAAGTGCTCTCTGGACAGGACCTCGGAGTGGGCCCTCATCGCCTCCATCAAGTCTTTCTCGTCCTGTTGAAAGCCGTCCATGAGTATCGCAGCCGAGCTCGCATCCTTGTGCAACTCCTCCCACATTCTCTCCACATACTGCTTGATCTGGCGGTCCAGATCCTTGCTCTCAAGTGGGTGGGCCCCATCCGGGAACTTGGATACGATGTCCCGCAGCATGCTGCAAAGCTTCGGGCCCTGCAAATTGCAGCAGCAGCAGCAGCAGCAGCTGCTGCTGCTGCTGCTGCTGCTGCTGCTGCTGCTGCTGCTGCTGCTGCTGCTGCTGCTGCTGCTGCTGCTGCTGCTGCTGCTGCTGCTGCTGCTGCTTGCAACTGGGTCTGCAAATTCGCAAGCAGATCGCGCACGCCCTGCAACGGCACCCGCGCCAGCAGCGTCTCCTGCGACAGGCTGTCCTCCGAGAGAAAGTCACCACATACTGCGAGGCAGAAGCTTTCTGCCACCGCCAAGTGCGTCTCCGAGGTGACCAGCTGGTCGCACGATATGGCTGCATCGCGCGTCGACATCCTGCGGAGCTGGTGGGCCAGCTCGCGGAAGCCGACCAGCTCTGCAAGGGCAGGGTACGACTCGGACAGGGGCAAGAAGTGCTCCTCCAGGTGCCTCAGGTCGCGCAGTTGTTGGTTCCTCCCATGCAGCTCCATCAACTGGAACTCGACAGCTCGCGTCACGCTCTCCATCTGCATGTCCCTCGCCTGACACTTCAGATCATGATCTCGGACCAAACGTTCACCTTCCCGTTTTGCTTGCTGGGCGACTTCCACAGCGCCAGACAATCGATTCTGCAACGAGGTGACCAATTCGCTTGTGGGCTGGGGGTGGAAGGGGTCTGCAGAATAACGCGCGGGATTCTGTAAACCGAGCTTGTAAGGAATGGTTGCCTCGACTTCCAGCCACAAATGGACCTCGAAGATCTCGGAGATCGTCTTCATATCCCTATCTGACAACCTTTCGATCACCTTTAGCCACCGATCAACGTCAACATATGCCCTACCCCTACCATCATGATAGATGTAACAATATTGAAAATCGTCAGAATGACGACACATACCAGCTGAATTGTATAGCTTACATAGACTTTCTAACGCGACTGCTTGCCGTCCATTTACTGTCAAGGCCTGCTCATCGAGAAATCTTGCAAGATTCGGGCCCACCCCAGATCTCCGAGCCATACTGGCGCACCGCGGGTAGATCTGGGTGGTTCGGCCGCCCACTAGAAGCAGAGGCAGGAGCGCGCGAGCCCACAATGGCTGCGGCAGGGGAAGGGGTGGACCGTGACGTGGTTGCTGGGAGGAGGACGATGCTCAGGACACCGCGGGTGATGAGGAGGAAGCAGGGCACGACGACTCAGACCCCCAATGTTGTGAACCTGCGCCAGAAAGTCGGCCCCTGAGCTCGCGGCACCTTCCCCAGGGGGCCTGTTCTCGAGGCGGGCCGCCGGCCGCGAGCACGGCCCACGGAGGCCAACCAGCCAGAAGATAACCGCCCAGCTGTGCCGACGGCTTTTGTTTCTGGGCGTTTGCCCTCCGTGGGCCGCGCGGTGGGCTCGGGGATGCCGCGCGAGCGGTGGTCCAGCATGTTCGCCAGAGACATCCTCGCGAATCTGGGCTCCCAGAAGCCGCACGCGAGGTTTTCTGGGCAGTTTCGCCTGGGACATCCTTCCAACTCTGAGCCCAGCGATGTCATGGCCCGAATTGGTTCAGCCCGCCTCTCTGGAGACATCCTCGCATCTCTGGGCCTCCAGAAGCCGCACGCAAAGGGTCTGGCCAAGTTCGCCTGAGACATCCTCCCACCTGTGAGCCCAGATCTGCCGTGATTCGGGGTTGTCCACGCAAGTCTGGTCTCCGAAATGCCCAGACCTGAGGTGTTGAAGCATCCTTACAACTCTAACCTCCGACAAAAACTGGCTTGAGGTGGTCTGGCCAATTCCGCCTGAGACATCCTCGCAAATCTGGACTCACGCATGCCGTGGCGTCAAGTGGTCTGGCCCGTGTCGCCTGACACATCCTCCCAAATCTGAGTTCCGAGATACCCTGACCTGAAGTGGTCCAGCCAATTTCGCCTGAGACAGCTTCGCAACTCTGGGCTCAGAGACTCCCTGACTTGAGATGGTCCGCTTGCGCTATCCCAGGTTAAAGCGATAACCACTGGCGCGGGGGGGATGCAGTAGAGGGTAGAAGATACCTCTTCTTATTCCCGACCCTCGTTTGTTGGTTTCTCGGTTTTCCCAGATCTCTTGCGTTTTGGTATCCATTTTGAATGAACGCTCCTACCGACTCCGCAAACTGCATACGTCACACCGCGTGGCTCGCTGCTCGGCAAGCAATGCTGGCTGGCCCGCTGCTGGTGAGCAAAGCTGGCATGTGTGGAACATCTGTATCAATATTTTGCAATACATTTCCGTCAGTTCAGGATACACATCTCGTAGCCAGAGAAACGTCCAGCGCAGCCGGGGACACGTCCAGAAGAATGAACACTCACCCCTAAGAGAAGTGCGTTGAAGCAGGCGCGAGTGGGGGACAGCCCACAGCGCCCCATGCTGCAGAGCCCCACTGATGTGGCGCTGAGGCAGATCAGGTGACAGTGGGAGGGTATGAAAGCGCTTTTGATTCGTACCTTGCCCCGTTCGCAGAATCAATTCAACGCTTAAGCCAGGACTTGCAAGACTGCCGGCAAAACGTCGACAATAACATGGAAGAGATCTGGGACGAGACGACGCAACTCCAGGATCCGGCTCAATGACTTCTCGACGTTGGACAGGCAGGTTGAGGACGACATCCTGCCGCGCATCGCCGACATCGAAAGGGCATCACTGAGATGAAGATGCCTGCGAACACACCACGCTCCGCCACCTCAACCGCACCATCGTCGACACAAGAGCAGAACGATAGCACGACGCTTGCTTTGGGGGGATTGCCGCATAAAACCGTAAGAGAGGCAGAACAATGGTTTGCTAAAGTACTGTAAGAAACTCACTACGAAAATCCACTCAAAATCTATAACAAAGGCTCCCAAGATGCACAATTCAAGGGCATGTTGTTCTCGGAGTTCCAATCCCGGAAAACATCTCTAGACGCCCTCCTGGTCCTACAAAAAGGCCTGCGGCAAGCGGAACCCTCAGGAAGGCAACCGCCGGGCATGGTGCAACACGGATGCTCCCATCGAACAACGTGCCCTTACGTCATTGCTGATCGGCCTTCGCTACCTGCTCACGCAGAGAGGCTTCGACAAAACTTCCTGAAGGTCGAAGACGACGCGGGGTACTTAAAGCTGGGGCAAAGAGATACTTCAAGTAAAAGTCATGGGAAAGACACTTATGCTGGACTGGCTGGGTCCATTATGGGAAACGTGGGAGGGATTTAAGAATTCACTGGGATGATAACAGAAGATCACTGACAAGCTGGACAAGAGCGCGACCAGTCTGTCCAAAGGAGCGGGCAACGAACAGCATGAACATTGACACAGCCAGGGACGCACAGGAAGAGTTCCACCCTCAAGGAGCAACAGTCTTCGTGACAACATTCCAAAATTCAATATTGGAACGTGGAATGTCCAAGACTCGACAAAGGAGAAACTTGATACCCAAATGCTATGCCTACAAGAAGCACGAACAAAACAATCAGACATCTATGACTTCAACCGGTATGCTGTAGTACTATCAAATGAAAAAAAAAGATAGGCAACCGTAAACTAAACTGGAGTCAGAACGAATCTGGGCTCGAGTCCGGTCGTACAAACAAATCTCAAACAAACTCGCTTGGATAAGAATCCGTACCATGAATTATAATTCTATAATTTTCTGCGTGCACGGCCCCCAAAATCCGAAGCCTACCCCAAAAACTTACATCTTATCATGACCTCGATGTTGAATGCAGGACATGTTCCGCAAATGTAGGGAACACATCCTGTTCAGAGACCTCAATGCGAGAGTGAATGGCGCATGCAACGGGGAAGAACACATTCTTGGGAATTTCGGCTGGGGGCGGAGGGCCGTGCAACCAGCGGACGCTCTGAACCGCGAACTGCTTCTCGAGTTTCGTGATGGGCTTGATTTGGTGGTCGCCCATTAATTCTTCGACGCGCCGCTGGAGGAACAATTAACGTTTATGTGGGGCTAGCGCTACTGTCAACGGGGCTATACCAGACGAGCAGTGCGTACAACATCGTGGATTTGCTGTTGTGCGATGCTCAAGCGGTCGCTCAAATACGGGGTCTGCGAAGCCACAAAGGAAGACCTCTTGCCACAGATCACTATCCGTCACATGTACGCTGGCACTTTGCACGGAGGAGGCTCGACGACCATCGCGTCCAAGTGCTGCTCAGGAAGCTTTCTGGGACCAAACGCTACGAATCCAATACGCTGACTCGTTCATGGAAACGTTGGGAGATTCCCCCAATGGCCCAGAATCCATAGAGAATTTGCGGGAGAACAGTGTGCAAGCATCCCAAATTGCGATAGGCGTACTTCCATCAGCTCCCGCGGAAAGAGAAAGGCCGTGGATTAGTCCACGCACACTTGGCTTGGTGACTCTCGCCCGACAGGCGGACAACAAACAAGAGAAAAAACACTTACTGACAGAAATACGGAACTCATGCACAAAAAAGACAAACCACCTTGGACCGAACAACACATTGCTCATGGAAATTGGGATGCTGACCGGGCCCTTTGCCAGGACGCCAACGCAACAATGGAGATTGCAAAGCATGAGCGGACACTATGGGATACTTCTTGGAACAAGTGCCATGGAAAGTACGGCCTGCAGAGATAACATCAACAGAGCCCTTGGGACCGACGATGCAAGTGAACGACGGGGAACGTTCTACTACGAACGAAGTTGGAACAATTGTACAAACACTAAGATGGGACAACGCAGGCGGGCCCGATGGTATCCCGTCGGGGTATTGGAAAGTAGTGGCCCAAACGCCTTGGGGGTTCCAGTGGATCTCAAAGTTATGCAACGCACGCTGGCTAGAAGAATCGGTCACGCAAGCCTGGCGACATTCTTTGGTGAGTCCGAGTTGCAAAAACAAAGGGCCAGTGCACGTCTGCGACAGTTACAAGCCGATCAGCTTGTTATGCGTAGCGTGCAAAGTGGTGGCAAGCTCGTTGTTCCAGTGACCACAGGACGCTGGGGCAGAAGGCCAGGTTGCTGCTACGCAACTTG